ATTTCCGCAAGACCTCGCTAAAACTTTGTAAACAGTTTTTCTATATGTCACCCCCCCCCCCCCCTTTTTTTTTCTTTTTCTCCCTTTCCTTTTTTCCTCTTTTTTTCTCTTTTATTCCGTTTCCTTTTTCCCTGTATCCAACCTTTTTTGTAAGCGCTCTCGAGCGTCACAAATAAAACACGCATAAACAAAAAAAAAGGGGGGGGGGGGGACATATAGAATAACTGTTTACAATGTTTTAGCGATGTCTTGCTGAAATTGTTTAGATAAGGAGCGACTAATGTTATGGATTTCCTTTACGTCTAAACATATGAACTTGTACCGATGTCTATTCAGGTGATACTCTATCAGAACGTTGGCATTATGCTAATCTCACTGGGAAAAACTGATACGATATCATATTAATAGAATGACTCATTGGCTGTTGTTAGAATGGAAGAAGAATGAAAATGTTGGAAGAACAAACATTGATAAGTGGGTTTTTTCGAATAGAAGAACTTGAAAGAGACGCGTTAAAGCATTTTTTCTACCAATTGAACAATTGACAATCTGCTGCGCATTGGAAAAAAGGTAGTTGTATATACTGATTACACAAAATTAATATTATCTCCATACTGTGTTTAGACTATGGCACTATCTAAAAACCAAAATATTTCATTAGAGAATGATGCAGAAACACTTATTTGTGAACTACGTCGGAGTGTACTCAAATCATGTGGTGAAACAGGTCGCATGCCAGCAGTTTTTCGCCGTTGCGATGAACAAATGAAGCTTGAACACGACGCGACCATCTTGAAAGCACATAATGCAGGATTATTTTGTCGAGCAGGTGCTGCAATTAAGTATCGCTATGCAGCCTTTTCAGCTGCTGTAGGTACTCTATTTGATCCATACAACTTAGAGCTATTGTTTGATGAGGGTAAATCTTTGGGTTGGGGTACGGCAATTATGCATTTTCTCGTACGCAGTGGTTTTTCCTTTCTTGTCAATGGAGGGGTCAGCATAATCATCACTGAGTTAATTGAAGAATATTATAAGCGATATCCGACTATCGGTACCAATCTATCACAGAATATCAGCAATGCTGGTATCGGATGCATTTTTGGTGCGCTCTTCACTGTAGTCACGCAAGCCGTTTTATACGTCTACCATCATTTGAAAGAAAAGAAACTAGAAAAAAAGCTGGCTACTACCAACGATCTCAAGCTCAAATCTGCTATACAAGAACGTCTTCGAGGCCATCATCTAGCTAAAGACTATATTCTTAGTTGGCGTAATGTGATCAAACATGTGTTCAGTTTATTGCTTGGTGGTATTGCCGCTGTATCATTTGCTGGATGGCCAATCCTACTCGCAGCGGTGCTTGTTCCTTGGGTGATTTGGGCAGGTGAGAAACTTTGGGATCACTTTAACGGAACGCAGCCAATTGGATTTCTCTCACGTCTCAGCACTTGGCTTTGGGGTGACACTATAGTTGAGCAGCAAATTGAAGCTTGGATTTACCAAGGTGACAGCGAGAAATCACCTGATATTCCTAAAGTCTTTATGTGTCCGATCACTCATGATATGATGGTGCATCCTGTAATAAACAATTGTGGTCGCATCTATGAACGAGAAGCGTTGGAAAGTTGGCTGACTCAAAATAATCGCGATCCTGAGACAAATCAAGAAGTTGCACTCGACAGTTTGCGCCCAGTACCTGAACTTGAACGCTACATATGCGAATATGCCAGAAAGAACGAATTCGTTTTACACAAAGAGACTACAGAAACCATCGTGTGAAACACATTGCCCTTCAGCGTGTTGTCAAATTTTTAATTTGCGATAAGGAAATATAAATAACCTCGAAAGAAAAAAGAGTGCAGATGTAGGTCTGAATCTCTGTATTCATATGATAAGCATTCATACTCACTACAGACATTGGCACCCACACCCCTGAAAAGAAACAAACGTGTGAAGGCCTAAATGATGTGTGTCTATAGCACGGCTTCCCACTGGCAAACATGCGAGTCAATGCACATTCAAAAAATGTTGATATAAATGCAGATTGAAGGGGGTTTAAAATGAAAACAA